ATGGGAGTAATTAGAGAGTTTGACTCATGTTCATAAAGAATAATTATTAACGAAAGTACATTTCACATACAATTTTATTATTTTTAATAATTTGGATAATTCATAGACAGATGTCACCCATTTTCGACATGAAGTTAAAATTAATTTTAGAAACTATGTTCACTTAAGGTAACATATATTACATATACGGCGGACATATACGGAATAGATCTTTTTAGAAGTTCGCAAATAATTAATTTAATTATTAATCGAGTTTCTGAGATTTGAGATTCACTCACAGGTTTGTTGTTCCACGCCATTGTCAAATTTTTATTTCGATTCATATGAGAACCTGCTGTACTATCTCTCGTTTTTGATACTTTTAGTTAAAGTTTTATCGCCTTTTAATAAGCTTCCTAAACCTATTCGGGTTGCTGCTCTCTACTATGATCATATGCACCAAATTCAAGAGAAAATAGAATATGAGTACGTTAGGTTAGGTATGGTCGTGGGGTTGATCCAAACTCGATGAATCTCACTTGGACAGAAATTCGTCCTTTGTGTTACCCAAAAATTCCTAAGGTAGATCACCAAATCCACAACGATCGACGAATCGTTGTGTGCTTACCACAAACTTATTTAGGCGGTTAATATCGATCCTAGCAAATACACTGGGTTCGTGTCCGTGTGGTATGTCTACCGAGATATTTCAATCTCTGTCTGGCAAAACCTGAGAAATAGAGAAGGAAGTGATAAGATGATTCCATCTCACCTTCCTCTATATAGCTTTGGCCTATAAGTGTGGCGAGATTGACTTTGCTAAGAGCCAGTAGATGGGATGACCTCTTACAGGCCACTCCAGGCCAGGAAGATCTCGCAGTCGCACAAGTTCTGGTTGTTGACCAGCGCTTGCGGAGCTCACTGGAGGTCCAATTTTCCAACGCCAGAACGCAAGCAGACATAGGAGAACCGATTCGACTCCAACTGGATAACATTGAGAAAAGGGTGCCCTCCCTAGCCAGCTCATCGGCTTTGCAGTTTTCAGCGATTCTGCTGTGGCCGGGCACATATACTAGTCTAATATGGAAGAAGCCTGAAGCTATTGCTAATAATGTCATGCACTCCTTAACTAGTTTTGAGCGCACAGTCAGCGAGATCAAAGCTGGTATAGAAGCTCGGCTGTCGGAGTGGATGCACACTTCTCTGAAGAAGGCTGCACTCCGGAGCAGTACATCTATTGATGCCTTCATGGCAGCTCTCTCCGCTTGGAAGACGTTGCAGTGGTCTGATAGTCTGAAACTATAGCTGATGGAGAGCTTCCAACAGATAACTCCACCACTTACTTTTCCCCTTAACTTCGATCCGTCCGTGAAGAAGCTCACTACACCGCTTCTCCAACAGCTTCCCTAAGTCCAATAGCAACATTCCCCGCCAACGCCTATCAGTCATGTCTACCGGTGCAACGTGTAGAATGGCAATGTGCCTTAATACATAACAGATGCCGATGAGGGCCTCCCTTTTAACACGCTCCAGCTGCTTAGCTAGTGTGGTTTTTTTAATCGTCTCCACCAAACAACAATCCCATAAAACATTATTTGCTCAACTATGGTTCTATAGAACCAGAGCACTACTTTTGGTGAGAGGCCCCACTTCTTCCCAATTGCTCCTCTACAACAGTATAAGGCGACCGATGCCTTCCTCACTCTCTCATCAATATTTTGCGTCCATGACAGCTTCGTATCAAGAATGAGCCCCAAGTACCTCACCCGATCCACCGGTTGAAGAAGAGAGCCAACGAGGGGAGAGTAGCATCAGAGATTTTATATTTCCTTATAAATAAAACTAGCTCAGTTTTATTTGGATTTATGGCTTATCCATTTCTCTCTGCCCACTTGGTAACCACATTTAGATACCCTTGGGCAAGATCGTAATCGAACCACCTGGCAGCCTCGTTCCTCGAGTTCTTTTAGCAGGTCGTTCACCACTAGAATCCAGAGCAAAGGGGAATGGACACCACCTTGAGAGGTTCCCCTGTTTACTTTCCTTCTTCTTTAGAGCTGCGCAAAGCTTCTTACTGTAAAGTTCCCAGTAAGTGTTTCTCAAGGTTTGTATGGTTCACTACAAATGAAATTAAAAAGTGAGGCACCCCTAGCGTTTATGTCCGAGCTTCGTCAGACCGTTCCTTGAGTTCACTATCATTGGAAGTGATTCCACCTCGCCATCGTGCGGCATTTAGGCCGAGAAGAGCCAGAGTTCTCCGGCTTCGCCTTCAAGCCTAGCAGTCATGACATCCTCGTTTCTGAAATCAGGTAAAAGAAAAGTATTTAGTTCGTTTCGGACCAACATAGTCTGCCTACCACCGTAGGGAGGTACTATTTTATCCGCCATGCGGCGGTTCGACTTCGGCATTCAAGCCATTTCATTTTTGTATTTTCTGTGGTCCCGAATCCACCATGAATCTAGCAGAGGTTACTTTGGTGGTGCTGGCGATTCCGCCTCGCACCTCCGCCCTATCTACGTGTCCAGCCGGCAGGCTTCTTCATGGAAGACGATTCCGTCATTTCAGGCAGTGCCCAGGCGGAACACTGTCCGATTTTAAGGTCGGTTCTGACCTACTTCCACCCAAAACCGTTCTTATAGTTTTTTTATTCATGTCTGTTTAGTCCCCACTCACACCCGCTATCCAGCTCCCGGAAGGTAGTCGCCTTTAATAGTCTGAAGGTATTCTCTGTTAAGTAGCCAAATCGAGGGTTGATGCACGTCTTTTTGGGGTCATACGTAGGGAGTCCTCTCAACTTACACCTACCACATTTATTTAATGATGACGGGAGAGAAACATAACCCGAGGCCGGCAAGGTTTTAATGGGACGGAGGCAGTCTCGGTATTAATCCGACAACAATTTCTGCAGCATGTCGCTGCCACACTCAGGAGATGGAATACCTCGACCGCCAACCAATGAAATGAGATAACTTTGTCCTTGTACTGAATTACTTATTGTATTTAGCTTTAAATTTTAGCCAATTAACTTTACACTAATTGAGTAAGATTGGTAATCTAACGACGAGAGTAATACTTCTTAACCAAGTTTAATGTAATTCAAAAATGTAATAAATATTAGAGATATCATGAAGAAATATTAATCAAATACGTGTGTGGAGGAGAGACCTTTATGCCGAACATGAATTCTGCCATTTTTTAACCTCATGAACAACATGCTCTTATCTCAGCTTTCTTAGAATCCGAATATACATTCGTTTAAATTGTTGCTAAAGTTTATACTTGAAGTAAGGTTCACCTTTCAATGGTTGTAGGAGTTCTAACTGGACACTATCCGATCGGGATTCATGCAGTAAGATTGAACATCTTACCGGATGCCAGCTGTTTGGAAAAATATGAGATAGAAACATCTCAACACTTCCTCCTCGAATGTCCCACTTTTAAAAGATCAAGGCAAAAACACCTCGGATCTCATACAATTAGACATCCAGATGAACTAGCAAAAATAGAAATAAAACAGCTTAGCAAATTTGTGATAGGTTCAGTGAGCATTGTCGACATGCTGAGGGATTTGTCATCTAGCCTAACTTAACCTAACCTTGTACTTGAAGTAACTGGTGTACAAACGAATGGATAGACAAACATCCAGAAATCAATTAATCCCATTTTGATATTACATATGCATATATGCAATATATGTAAGTAGCACGGCAGTGCACAAAGTTCTAATGAGCAAAACCTGATTCCTCAGAATTGTATAAATTAGGAGCTGCGATTCTGTATTCTAATGAAGAGAGGATGGATTTCCATGTAGGTACATTAGCAATACTAATTTAATTCAGGCATGTTTAGCTTATAATCGCATATTCACTTCCAAATGTTCGATTTAATTATTTCGAGGAAATACACTTGTGCTACCTGAAGTAAACTACTATAGTAAAGAACCTTTACTCTTTTCATTTCTATACCTAGAAATATCAAATATTATTTGCTTTAATTTGTATTTTTTCTTAAAAGCGAGAAAATCGTTTCTCTTTTGAAGGTATCTTTAATAAAATAGTTAGCCTCTGTCACATAGTTTACGGTTGACTGTGGTTTCTAGGGCCGGTCCGTATCTTATTGCATCCAACAAGCGTCTATTAGCAAAATCAATTAGTTTCTCATTTTACTTTTTATGTACCTAAGTTCTTTGGTTACAAATAAATAAAAAATAAAGTATTAAAATCTGATTTGTAATAAAACTAGTAACTAAAATGAAAAACAATTGCTTTTTTATTTAATCTTAATACAAACGCCATTAGAGTAAAGTTCAAATAAATTGACTGCATAATACAAATTAAAGAAACTTTTTTAAGGGAAACATAATATTGCAATATTTATGAATGGATATAAATACATTTGAATTGCAACAGTAAATTTTAAAATTTTATTTGATAAACCTTAATATAAATTTTTTTTTTGTTTTTCTAATGTTGCCTAATATTGTGATGTATGCAGTTATTTCGTTTACTCGATCCTGTGATACTATACTTTTTCATGTAATATATGTATTGCATGTATAGTTTATGTAACTGCCATATAACCGCCGGTTAATGTGGATCACTTATTTAATTTGACTACATTTTTCACTAATGTGATTGAAAATGCTGGATTATGATTTTATTTGCTTTATGTACAATCGCATTATTTTTTATATGTACGTATATAAATTCGATAACGAGAGGTTACATTGCATTTATAACTACATAACATACTGGGTTTTAATTGAGTAGAACATTTTTTTATTTATAAATTATATTTCAACTTATATTTTAACTTATTTTGACATTGTTACTTACCAAAAATGTTTATGTTACGCAAACCGTTGTTTTCATATGTGGCTTTTAACCTGTTGGTTGAAAACTAATTAAAATGAACTGTAAAAGCAAAACATAACTACAATAATTTTTTTCAAAATTGGGTGGTTGGAAATAAAACGCTACTACTAACGTTTATTAGTGAAATAATAGTAAAGGGGAGCCAATTTTTTAATTAATTCATTGTTATTTATTACTATTTTATCATGATATTTCACAATAACTTTGTCTTAGAAAAAATGTAGTACAGTATATCATGTATCGTAGAGAGATGCAACTAAACCAATGTAACTACTAAATTCGCTATAAAAAATTACACATGTTGCAATTTAATACGCAGACTAACATAAATATCAACATAAAATAATTATTATAAATGTCTAACTTAAACAAAAAGTATTACAAAAATTTAGAGGCATTATTAATAAGTATATTAGCTTTTGGTATATATGATATATGTGGAGATATACACGTTAATCACTTCATCGTAAGATATTTTTTTCCAAATATGCGATCAATTTGCAACTAATTAAGTGAACAACCGTAACAAAAATCAAATGTAATTGAATTTAGATCTAGAAACACACTTATGCAATTGAAATTGGCGACCAACGATGAATAATTGTCTGTATCTTTATTAAGTTGCCTGAAATATGTATAATTATTATATATCTGAACATATAATACTTTTGTATATATTTCTTTTATATTTTACTTGCAGAACTTTACGTAGTTAACATAGCTAATAAAAAATCACTAGATATGATTTCGTTCTAATTACTAATAGACAAACACACATACATCTTACAATATACTAATTTTATATTCACTTTTGTCTTCATTTTTTTCCGGAATTATATAAAATTTTCGCTTTGTCTTCAAGCCTGTATATCAGTTTTTTATTTAAAATATTTGCAATTCGATATTATGCCATCGAAAGAAGCGGTACAAATTATTTTTGATACATAAAAATAATGCAACTGACATTTAACACAATAATATTACGGACGTGGAGCTCTTTAAATGTGACTAACTATGCCAAGGAAAATTAATGCAATATTTTGTCAATAAGATACAAATTGAATGAATAAAAGAAGTATATTTAAATCTTAAAGCAGTGAATGCAAGTACTTGTTCCAGTTCCATGATTAAATGCCCAATAATTAAGAAAAGAATATCTGCCCGTAAAACTACGCTACTCTGGAAGAGTGCAAATAGCTTTCATTACCTAATTCAAGTTATAGTCAAATTTTTAAATTGCCAGCCTTTTTCTGCATTTTATTTAGAATAAACAGCGAAACTAGTCCTGAAATTTAATCGGTACTAATTTTTATAATTTTTGGTTTCAAATATTGTTAATATACGTACATTCATAATTTATGTATTTACAATAATTATTTTAAAATACAATACAAAGACGACAAAAACATGTAGTGCACAGCGACAATATATGACACGTTCATTGCAAATACATTTAGAAGTACAAGCAGTTTTGATATTGGAATATTTTTATTTCTTCTTCTGTTTCTCATTTATGTTGCATAATATAGTGGATTAATGAGTAACACATGTATGTACGTATGTTTGCCTACATGGATGACTGCAATCGTATGCAGTCATTTTTATAGAAGTATTCCTTTGCATAAGTATGTGCAAATATTACGTGAGTGTTTATGTGCGCATTATATTCCAACTTTACGAGATTACACTCTTAGATAATGCTTATTTCTGTTTAACATTGTTATTGACTCTCATAAATATTAAATGATTTTTCTCAATACTTGCTTTCACTAATAAGTTTAACCTGTTTTATTATTCTTTAAATATAATTGTGGTTTAATCATATATTAGTTAAGATACATATGTATATTAAATAGGTTTTTATGAGAATTTGACAAAACTTTTATACATCATTTTTAAGAGCCAACTATTTAAACTACACTTCCACATTAGATATAAATTACTTAATTATTATTTTAGATATAGTTAAAGTTTAAATATATTTAAGATATTTGTTATTAGTTATAGTCTACCTCAAACATTACTTTGACTTTAGCAGTGCCTCTATCATGTCTTTACAAATTGCATACTCTAATATTTGCATGCAATAAGCGAACATCAGCCTAGCAACCTGCAAAAAATGTATTCCCTATGATATATTGTAAAATTCAAATTACTGGGTTTATTTGCCATTGTTTTACCCTTACTTTCTCTATATATTGTACTTAAACTTTTAAAAAATCTTATTAATCAAATCAATGAAACTGTCTATTTAAACCGAATAAAAGTAATTTGAACTTTACATAAAAAGCTATGGATTGCAACACTCCCTTAGCAGAAATTACACTGGTAAAAGGTTTGAATACACAAAAATTCAAACAAGCAATAAAAAAATAAGAACTTTAGATACAATGATTATTTCTTTGCAATAAAGGGTTCAACAGGTAATCTCTCTGATTACTGTTGTTTCACGATAATATTTCTGAACTTTAATTGTCTATATGTATAAATGTGTAGATTGTAAGCAACTTTCTACTAATATATTGAAGTTATTAAGTTACGGCAATATCTTGATGTACATAAAGATGTAGGTTGAATTTGTCATTTACTGAAATTCCGGCTGTATTTCGGTTTTTATGTTCACCAAATGCTAGTAGGTGGGGAAGCCCATGGCGCTGGCACTGCTGTTGTCCAAAGGTCACTGATGCATTTTCGCGGTATGATGCCCCATGCTCAATCCCAAATTCATATGATGAGTATTGTGATGTTGTTGCGTCGATTGCGCATGATTATGATTACTATTGGCGCTGTTATTGTTATTCTGTTGGGAGGCTTGACGTTGTGAATTCTTTTTATTTTTCATACGACGATTTTGAAACCAAATCTTTACCTGCATTATAAATTAGGAAAAAGCATTAATAAGCCTAATTTAATTATATTTTCAACGCTTACCTGCCGTTCAGTAAGATTTAAATTTCTTGCTAGCTCCCAACGTTTTTGTTTGGAAACGTACGCGTTGTAAAGGAACTCCTTCTCCAATTCAAGGGTTTGAAATTTCGAGTAGGGCTTGCGCTTTTTTCGCACCGAAACTTGTCCAGTCCATTCATGTAGGGCATTAGTGGGAGTACAAGGTCCAACTGTACCAACAGGAATGCCACCAGTTCCACCTTAAAATTAAATCATAATGAACATGCATAAACAACATAAAAACTTAAAATACATAAAATACTATATGTTTGTTTATATATAAAATCATCACTGAGTGAGTGAATGCACTTTAAGGGATTTCCAATGATTGACTTGTAAGACAATGAAAAAGTTGCTCACTGTGATATAGTGAATGAATTCTAATAATTTCGGTTAGTTTGTAATTTGGTAAAATATTTTATACTAAATGAACGGGTCGATAAATAGACGATTCCCACATCCGAAATTTTGTGCCAGACTTAATAACAGTCGTATTTAGTTTTTACCAATTTTCAATCATATCAATTAGGATACAGTGTAAGTAGTGTTCTTAATAGCAGTTTTATGAAAAATTTAGTATGAATAAATAAACAAGTTTTATAATATTTTACCTGAACTTGAATAAGCTTCACTTGGGTACCCACGCAGCCCGCTTGGTGAAGAATACGTTGGCGTTTCATAACTAGACTGCGAAGTGCCCTCGACGGATTGGCGGGCAGCAGCTGCGGCAGCATGTCGTTCATCACTAGCGCTCATGTAGGCCGCTGCAGCAGGTGTAGGTTGTTCCCGGTAATTCCAATACGGCTACAATCGATTAGAAAATATAATCGAAAGATTAAACAAATTCATTCTTAGGTCTTGCGCGATAGTAAAAAATGTATCTAAAATATTATTTAAGCATCATTCAACCTGATATTGTGTTTCGGGGTAACCATAAAAAACCGGCTTTCGGTCTCGGTCTAAAAAGTATTGTGATGCGTGATATTGTGCTGAGCTGAAGCCATCACCGTCGTAAGCCCAAGGATGAGGATGTCTTTTAACTGTTGCCGTCGCATCAGCCTCAAAGCCAGGTCGAATCGCGGGTATGTGCAGAGGTGCTAACAATGACATATCTGAAATTAAGAAATTCAGAAACAATTGATTAACACCTCGAAAATTTGTTTAAATAAAAGTATGCATACATTTTTATATAAAATGGTATATGATTGTTCTAGAAAAATGTAATTAAAATATTATATAATATGTTTTTAAATGGTTTCTTGCATATCCAATTAAGAATACGCTATATAAAATCTGCTAAATTTCGACTGAGGTTAGTCAATTTAAAGTTCGCTAAAGAGATTAGTAATATCTTTGCATTGGGATTGTTAAATCAAATAGAACACATTTTAAAGCTGTGTATAAATATAAGGCCAAGAACTTTGAATGGACTCTGGAAAACAATTTGCTAGGAATTCGATTTTCAAACTGCTAGGGAATATATTATTTCTAATAAAGGAAATGATAATACTAAATATCAAAAAAACTGAAGGAATTATGGTACATGTTGATTGTTTGTTAATAATTCTGAAGGACTGAGAAATATTATATTAAAAGTATGAAATAATTTCGAATTGTAACAAGAGTTATGTGTTTTAATTTCTTGTTTGAGTAGTTAAACCTTTAGTTGCAGTAATGTTTTATACGAACGAAAAATTATATTTTACATTCCTCGGATATAAGTTAAATCAAAGATAATATTTGTGCAAAAATTAATATGTAATTTATTTTATGATAATCTGTTGAGAAATGTTGATTCATATAAATATAGTTTTCTCAAAACCTTAAAAGTTTTTCATGTGTATTTTACATTACATTCTGTTTACTAAAAAGCTAAAGTTTACTAATTTGTCAATGAATTAAACTTTGTAAAAATTATTAATTTAAGAAACTAGAAAAATTGTGTAACTTGTTAATTTATATTTATCAATTACTTTGAAGTTTTAAGCTGTTCATATCTAAGATTTGTTTTTACTTACCTGGGGGTTGGGAACTAACACTGGAGGGGGAAACACTCGCCGTTGACGGCGCAACAATCTGTGTTTGGCCGGACGCCACTGCTGAATTTTGTTGTTGCTGGAGGTTCGTAGACGCACTAGGAGGCACACTATTCGTTTGCTGTTGTTGCTGTTGGTGGTGTGGAGAGGTGAGATGTTGCTGTGCTTGAGGTTGTGCACCTGAAGATGTTTGGGAAGGACTGTGGGCAGTACCAATTGGTGCAGCTGCGAGCTGCTGTTGCTGCTGTTGAGTGGGCAGGAGATGTTGCTGCTGTTGTTGTTGCTGTTGCTGTTGCTGTTGCACGGAAGCAATTGGCACTGGAGGGGGATCTTCATACATAACCGCATTAGTAGGCGTGGAATGTGACGTGGGTGTCGTTTGTTGTTGTTGGGGAAGCACAGCGACCGTCGGTATAAGTGAGGTTGAATTCGCCGACACAGTCGGCAAAGTGTGTTGGAGATGATGATGATGATGTTGCAGATGCGGATGGTGATGATGGTGATGCGGGTGGTGGTGCAATTGATTGATAGTATTTGTTGCAGGTTGTTGATTGATAACCGAAACAGCGGAGACGGTGGACGAAGCAGTAGCGGTTGGATGTGGAGCGTGATGATGTGGCCCCCACCAAGTCCCGGCAGCGGCGTGCGACCCGACTGCCGAGACATCGTGGGGGTCGTAGAGAGCACACGCCAGCGGGATTGTTGGGGTTTGGGGGAGTGGTGGAATAATTACGGTTATTTTGAGAGCGATTCGGATAAAGCAAAAACAAGTATTTTAGCAAACAACCGAGACAATTGTATAGCGCGAGCGCGGATTTCCCAGGCGTGGTGTTTATATATTAAGATGTATGATAAATAATTATGCGATCAATTGCATTAATCGGTTGTGTGATTTTACAAAACAAATAAAATGATTTCACAACCCGGCAACCGTTATCAAAGAGAATAATATACGTAATATATGCAGACGAGTGGTAAAGCGTTAAGTCAGAGAGAGAATATTTGATGTGAATGAAGAGAATTATAAAAGAGAAAACGTTGTCGACGGTGGTGCAATTATTCAGCAGCAGTATGAGTGTGCAATAATTTTTTTTGGCAAACGGTAGACAAGAGCAAATGTTTACAGCTGGGCCCATGGGTTAGAATGTGTTTTGTTCAAGTTAGTACAAACGTTTTAACGTATTTTTTATGATTTATTACATGTTCACATTTAATTTTATTTTATAATAGTTACATTAATTATCTCATAATTTTAATTAATTTATTTTTTATTTATTTTGGTAAGTCGAAAAGTTTGTATTCCAAATTTATTTATTATTAGAATTTAAATCATTTATTTTAAAAATAGTTAACGGCGTTTTGAAATTTGGAGTCATTTAATGATTGTTTTCCATGAGTTGTCACATTCGTTGATTGTGTTGTTGTTTATTTTGAAGTGTAGCAAATATTTTTATTGGGGGTATTCCAATGCCCATAAAATGACATATGTACAAGCGCGACGCGTGAGTTTATGGTTCCCAATAAAGAAGTAGTCCATTCAAGGGAAACAAATTACACAAGCAACTCGAAGTTTTGTATTTTTATTATTGTTTGTTTCCATATTTATTTATTTGTATTTGTTGTATATTAATTATATTGGCAGAGCATATGTCCAAGCGTTTATGACCGCCGTATATTTTTGCCGGTGTCGATAATAAAATTCATTTAACGATCAAAACAAACACAAATTTATATTTTTTTAATTTTGTAATTTTTTGCAGATTTCCGATTGATTACACGTTGAGTGGTTTCCGTTGTTGTTATTGTTTTATTTAATAGAGAATGCGTAAGATGTTCAAATAATTGTGGCACAGATATATGTATCGGTGGCGCAGGTGGATTCCAATTTGGGTGGCAATATAATATTGTTGAAAGAAAAAAAGCGAATTGTTTAGTTCAATGTTTATAAAGAAACTCATTAGCTTTATACGCTTGATTATATCATAAATTTAAGTACTCCTATATACTAGGTACATTTTTTATTCACCAAAAATACCGACTATTTTGACACCACATTTTTTATTTGAAATTGAATAATATTATTTAATGCTTGCAATCATTATAAACTGTTTCCCCTTTTTTTCTATTAATAATACAACGCGATGTCGATTTGAATTAAAAAATTTACACTTTTTTAGCTTATTGATGAATCTCCGACGTATCAATTGGTTTCGACGCAGCTATTATTGTGTTATAGTACACGTTACAAATACCGCTTCAAGCTATGTTTCGTACTGTGCTATGCGGAGTACAAATTTACACTGAAAACAGAGATTCTTTTGTCAACACACGCAACACACAATTGAATCGAAATGACCGTTTGCCTGCGACATTCCTCCGCGCAGCACCGCACCACTTCTAAATGCTCGCGCCTCAATACACTATGCGCAAGGCCACCACTAGCGAGCATACTTTGAAACAGCGCCAGCTTCGTCGCTAAGATATAACACTCCGGCGCACTCGATGTGCGAACAAAGGCAAACGGCAGCTATATCAAGTTAGTCAAGCAATTCCTCCACTAGCGTGAGCGAGCTCCCAACAAGCCACACATCTTGCATATGTGCCGTTCGTATATGTATACGTAATATTCAAACAGTGCGAGTTGCAATACGTGAACATTGGCAAACACACATTTATGAGCACACGACAGGATGTTCTCTCACCCAAACATAGAACACAGTTCTTGGGTTCACACTGTACGAGTACACGTGTGCTTTGAAGATATGATTTTCTCACAACTACGATACCTTACCCCATTGTAATGCAAATTCTTTCTGTACAACTGTCTTACACTCTTTTATGGGAATTTTTAAGGAGCGCCGGTCCTATAACTGATTGACTTAAAAGGTATATATTAATCCAATCACATGTATTAGATGTATATAAAATTTAAAATTTACTTGCAATCAACAGAGCTCAACCCAATACTTATATTATATTCTTAGACGCGCTTTCGCTACACTTCACACGTATTTCGTATACATATACGATCACGTACATAAATATTGAAGTGTATTTGTGTCGATTAGGCATTCTCCCCACTTGAAACGCTCAATTTGAATATTGACGCTGGCCGAAGAAAACGTTGCCATGACATTGAATTCTCACCTTACGAATAAATGCTCTCTACAATAAAGAGCAGTGAATTGTGCTCTTACAACGTTTCTGATTGCACCTCGTTACGTAAGATTTTCAAAATCAATTTGAACTCAAAACGAAATTTAACATCGGAAATTTGATTTCCGCTTTCAAACATACAACAAGACATATCTTCATATATTACAATATTCATTAAAATTGTAGCAATAAGTTTCAAAATATTGTATAAGCTTTTGTTTACATTCTATATATATTTACTCAAATAACAACAAAAACAAAAATCGATTAGTTTTGAAATTAATTCAAAACATTTGAAGTATACCTACACTTACCTGTTCAGATTTGTATATTACTAGTAAATTATTACTCAACGGATACATAAAGTAGCGCATGCGCTTTATAGATTCAACAACTGAAACTCTCGCCATAGGAGAAAAGGTTTATAAAGAGCGCATCCACATTTGAGTCATATGGCTGCGTTCAACTTTGTAAACTTATTGAATCAAAGGGCTCCATCTATATCTAAACATTGGCAGTATATCGAAGCCAACAAACTCTGTTATTGTCTACTTATGATTTATCCTATGATAAGCTTCCTTTCTACGAACAAATAGCATGAGTGTATGTATATGTGTATATGCTTGGCTATGCCCACACCTTTTAATAAAAGATATACGAGTATGCATTTATATATTTGATACTACCACATACTATGTGTATATATATTTATGAGTTTGCGTAGTTAAAGGATTTTCTGGCAAAAAACTTTAAGGATAATTATATGATAATGAAGAAAGAATATTGAAAAATCACATTGAATTGAGGAACCAAAGCAAAATATTACCCTAGTCACATACAACACTTTACAACTAAAACAGAAACAAAGACTAAACAAGTACAGTTTGCGCCATTAAGCTTCATTAAAGCGAATTAATTGCATAGATTACATTATATGTATATACATATTTTTGCTTCTTGTATATGATATATAATACATAATACGTACTTTTATATCATATTTACATAAAACATTATAAGCAAATTATGTCATTCATTCAGTGTCAGCTAGCTCAGCTAACTTTTTCAAAGATAAACCGAGTGTAAAAACTAGAAGTTGAATAACTATGATCAAGAAAATTGCTTACGATTTTGACAGTTCTTTTCAAAGTAGGAAGATACGATTCATCTGGCACATACATGTTTTCTTTAAACCCTGAGTGTGAATGAAAGCGGCCCCAATCTTTATTAAATGATTTTAAGGTTTTAAATATTGTAATCTATTTAAAATTTTAAATTCGTTTGCAATATCTTTGTACTCTCGCAATATGTTGATACAAAACTATTAGTTCACCTAGCTATAGAATTATGTATAAATATATAAAAAATTATGTATATATATATAAATAATCACAAAAGGATATCTTGTCAAATAGAAAGTTTTACATACAAGAACTTGGTTTTGATATTTTCATTTGTATAGTAGCTAATGCTATAGTGGTCCAATCCAAAAAAATTTCGAGGATTGTAGCGATATCGGCGGTTCCGACAAACAGCTTCATAGGGAGAAAACGACGTTCGCAAAACTGAGAGAAAAAAAACTGAAAAACTGAGGGACTAGTTCGCATACAGGTTGGTTGAAAAGATGGTTGGTCTTACCAAGAAATAGCACTACTAGCTCTAATTTTTTTTTTCTCAAGTTGATACATCTGTCGTGAGAACACATGCAAAGTGACAAGCATTTTGTCAATTAGTTCTTTGTTTAAAAGCCATTTGAAATTAACGTGTCACAGTATTTTTTTAATATTGAAAAAAATTGAATATCATGCAGCGATTAGATCCTTTGGTTTGAAAAGTTTAAAAGCAAAGGAAATTTATTTTATTTAAAACGCACCCTCGACCATAAGCCGCAGCCACACCAAAAATCATTGAGCAAGTTCATAATATTGTTAGTGACGATATAACCAGAGACTACTACCTCTAAAGAATCCTGAAACAATCCCTTTGTGGAAAGTGTTTATAGCCGTAGACGGATATTTTGCAAAGCTTGGAATAAGTATATTGAAGATATATTTCGTACCAAAATCATTTCTTTTTCATTTCGAGCGCAGAAACTTTTCAACCCACCTGTATATACCGACAGGTATATGAAATTAGGCGGTCACCAAACGTGTCTTTCAATAAATCGATTGTGGCACGAGCTGTGTGACATATTGCGCCGTCTTGTTGGAACCACAGGAATGAAAAAGTTAGTAATCATGGCTCTATACCGATCACCATTGACTGTAACGTTCTGGCCATCATTGTTTTTGAAGAAGTACGGACCAATGATTCCACCAGCCCATTAAGCGCACCAAACAGTCAGTTTTTATGGATGTAACGGTGCGTCGACATATACTTAAGGATTAGCTTCACTCCAAATGCGGCAGTTTTGTTTGTTGATGTAGCCATTAAACCAGAAGTGCGCTTCATCCCTAAAAAAATTTTCGACGATAAAATGAACGTAGTGTGCGATACGTATTCCGCACAGAACCATTATTTTCGAAATAAAATTGCACTATTTGCAAGCTTTGTTCAGGCGTGAGTCTATTCATGATGAATTGCCAAACCAAACTGAGAAGAAATCATTTGACAGCTATTAAATTGGTAGCCATCTTGAACAGTAATGCCAACTTAAAGTTCTATACCTCGAAAAAAACACCCGTTCTATGTAGGTATATGTGTTTTCTTGTATGCATATTCAAATAAACACAAATATCACATATAAGTTTAAACTTACATGCGTACACATACAAAATATATATGTATAAGTATGTATATATTTTATTCTTTACTCAAAAGAGTAAGATTCATAGAATCATATATACATATAGACTCAGTAACATACCTACCTAAAATTCCATGGAATTTAACATCAGATATAAAATCCAGAAAAATATTCTTTGAACGAAGTTTAAAGCTGTTTCCGGATCATTAATGTTAAAACTATTTGTGCGTTTTTATAGAGTACTGTAATTGGACGCGTTGCCAGACAACAAACATGTGAAAATTCCAAATTGAGTGAAGCAAAGAAGACAAGAAATTTTCGATGAGATATACCATAAACTAGGACTGGTGACAATGTAAGGAAAACATATATTTAGACCGATAACCATTTTTAAAGGTTTAATATCACACTTTATAATCACTGTTAACTGCTAAAAACAAAATAAAACAAGAAAAAGCAGTAACTTCGGTAGCACCGAAGCTATAATAACTTTCTCAAATACAAAAGATTCCTTGCAAGAACTTAATTCTTGTATCTCTGAGTTATCTCAATAAAAATGTGAGTTATCTCAATAAAAATGAGAGAACGTGTTTTTCTAATAAGAGTGTATCTATGTGTGTATAATGGATAAAATCAGTTTTTCCCTAGCCCCCATATAATAAATATCAATAATTTCGAACATCCGACTGACTTTACTCCATATAAGTTGGTAATATTAACATAACATATATGACGTACCTTAATGAAATCCAGGGAGCATTTTATTAGTATGTTTCATGTTAAAAGTATGTGGTATTGGCACAAATACATAAAATCAGGTCAATACTTCCGTATAATGATTTGTGTTCCGTCCTCCTGATCTTAAACCATTCAGGGGTGTTTAATTTTTTCGCACAATTTTTATACTCTCGCAACCTGTTGCTACAGAGTATAATAGTTTTGTTCACCTAACGGTTGTATGTATCACCTAAAACTAATCGAGTTAGATATAGGGTTATGTATATAAAAATGATCGGAATGAAAAGACGAGTTGAAATCTGTCCGTCCGTCCGTCCGTGCAAGCTGTAACTTGAATAAAAATTGAGATCTCTTCATGAAACTTGGAAACATGTTTCTTACCTTTTCAGGTAAGACGGTTGGTATTGCAGATGGGCGTAATCGGACCACTGCCACGCCCACAAAACGCCATTAATCAAAAAAAAATAAGTTGCCGTAACTAAGCTCCGCAATAAGATACAAGACTGTTATTTGGACAAAGGATCACATTAGGGAGGGGCTTCTGCAGTTACAAATTTTTTTTAAGTGGGCGTGGTCCCGCCCCTAATAATTTGATTGTGCATATCTCCTAAAGCGCTAAAGCTATAATAACCAAATAAAAGCACCTCTATTGACGTAAAACTTTGCGTGAATAATACGTTTAAAGTATGCCAACATGTGACCAAAAATTTTCTAAATCGAACCAAAACTGTTCAAGCCCCTAAGTACTAAATATGTGGACCCCAGTGCCTATAGTTGACCTTCTACCGAAAATATCAGTCAATCGACAAAGAAATCTCAAACGAGTATACCATTTGAGTTTGCGAGAGTATATAATGTTCAGTTACATCCGAACTTAGCCCTTCCTTACTTGTTTAATATAAAGTTTTACCAACACCTCAAGGAATTTCCCGGGCTTTGATTCTTGGAAGTTGCAAGAGTATGAAATGTTCGGTTACACCTGAACTTAGCCGTTCCTTACTTGTTATTGATGAAGTTACACATATTAATCCCTATCTTAATGAAATTGAAAACAAATACAAATTTCATATGCGATATTCAAAACAAAGTTTTGCGAACACGTCGAAATATTTCATATGCCTTTTATCCTGAGAAAATGCTAAATAATCTAATGTTCGGCTCCCATCGAAGTCAAGCCTTCCTTACTTGTTATTATTTACTTATGTTTTATTGTTTTATAGTACTTATACGTAGTATAAGTTCTTTTTAGCCAGCCCATGTTTATTTATTTATTATTTCAGAGTGTTTATTACATTTCGACTTTTAACTACCTATTTGATATTAATATGCATTTGGTTGTTTACGGCTAAGTTTACTGTGTTAATTGTTTTATAATGTGTTAATATTATAGTATGTTTATGGTAGCTCGTTTTATGGCAATGTTAGTAATTGAGTGAAGTGTGCCAGTGAGAGCATGAAAGAACGATTAAAAGGCAATGAAATGTTTGATTTATATTGAGTTATTCAGGGTTAGGATTAAGAATACAGCAATTCAATTGATTGAAGCTATTCAATAGAAAAACTTGACAACAACTTTAACTAAATTATGCAATTAATATTAAGAGACCAATCAGCTCATTTTAGCAAAATAACGTTTTTGAGGTAAAGCTTTTGCCATAATTATATAAAACTCGGTTCAAGAAAGTAGCAGTACCAATTTGA